TCTTGTTGCGTTGCGCCTATCTATTGGTCTCGTGCCAGCCGCTGAAAACCCTCAAGGTTTCGCGTTTAGGCTTTCGTGCTTTCTCCGCCTCTGGGTCGGCGGACTGAGCCGGAGGCTCTTAAGTTCAATCGAAACCTTATGTGCTCAAGGATTTCCCGTGTTTGACAGAGTTTTCTGGCCCTACCAATTTTTTTTATAAGGGAACGTATATGGAAAAACATCACTCAATAAAATGGAATTCTTGAGTTCTAGTTACAAGTAATCAGCAAACGAATCATTTCGGATACATTTTTCCTAACCTTTTCGTCCTTGACCAATAAGCAAGTGGACTTCTTTAACATACAAAATGCAATTGGGCCATATCGAAGCTATATACATTTATGTCTATATGCCAAGGGAAGGATGGGCTTTGTGATTTGAGGCAATTCAGGGGTTTTGTCCTAAACAGCCGTTTATTATTGAGGTCCAAAAACGTAAACAACCCATATAGCAAGTGGGATTACCTACCGGAACAAGGAGAACAACCAAATCAGGAAAACACCACACACTCCTTGGGCTTCTCGTAGAATCAAACCTCTGTGCTGAAGAATGGACAAGAATTCATTCTCCCCAGCAAAAACAATACAAGACAAACCCAATTGACTCCAGAGAAGTGAAAAATCAAGCTCTTTGCAGGTGCTTCTTTTGATACTCATAAAACTTCATTAGAACAGTTTGGAGCTTGAGCTCTTTCCAGCTATGGACATGGTTTCCTGTCTCTACTTGCTAAAGACCGATTTGGGGTAGTTGAAGAGAACATTCTTGGCACATCTACAGCACGGTACCTGTTCAGCATTTTTGCGACACCCTGCATTTGGTGTCAACACTTCCGATGCGCGCACCAAGGGACATGAACCACAAAGTCCAACCATGCTGCTGGCAAACGAGATGTCCTACAAAGTCCACTGTCCCGTTGCAGCATGGGTTGTAAATCAATGCCCGGCCAGGAGCATGAAGATCTCCGGATGGCCCACAACATCCGGCTGCAACGAGGAGCTGTTGCTGACTGCTACATAAGCGCCAATGCGGTAGCCTCAGCTTGCCAATGGCTTTGGCAAAGGCCATTATGGGCGCAGGACTAAGTGCATTGCAACAAAGTTCAGCTGAGCCTCTCAAATGCACATAGAACGATCCCAGGATTACCTGGCAATGTTGAGTCACGACACAACCAAATTGTTTGAGCTCTGAGGTCAAGGCCATGTCTGCGCAGTTCCAGCCGTAGCGGAAGAACTGATAAAAGGTCCGGAAAGGAAAGGCAAGCCGGGCCTGATTCACCCACAGATTGACTGTTGCAAGAAGACCAAGATTTCAGGGCGAGGTGCAGCCCATCCCGAACGCTGAAGGTAGCCAAGCGGATTCTGCCCTAAGAAGTTGAAGCAAGTCCTGGGCATTTCCGTCTCATGCAGTGATCTTCAACACGAGACCTTTTGTGCGACACGAGCGACTTGTACATCAACCAGAAGGAATAAATCGTGAAGATCAGGAAGACCAAGCCAAGCCTTGCCAACATAAGATTAAACGCTCATCTCAGCACGGTACGTTGCGGCTCCACATTTCCAGCACCCTTTGCATCCCAATTGTGCTCAGCCACCATATCATAAGCAGGAATGCCACCAGATTGGAACCCTGAAGCGAAGGCGTGAAGAAGAATGTTCGCATGGCGGTGCTGCTCACCTCAGCTCCGAATAAACAGCGTGCCATCCAAACAACTCAAAGGAAGCGCGAGGCGCGGACCGTTCCGGTCACAGCTCCGTTGGGGGTGAACTCGAACAAAATCACCTTGGCTGCGCGTCCTATAACAAGCCGAAAGAAGCCCGCCAAGAGTCAACGATCAGCCAATGTGTGACGACTCAATGATATCTCAAGCATTACGATCCAGCCAAGCTACTGTGTTCACCTGAGCAACAAGACGCGCATACAACCTGCTTTATCGACAAAACCTTTGAGATGAAAGTTTACAATTTCAGAAGCAGCAAGACACTTCGTCACTGACATAAGCCTGCGACTTGCTTCATTCTTCCGTGTCTTAGGACGCAGCTATAACGTTCACGTTCGTACTCATCGTCGTCAACTCAATGGAGACCCTGACCATCTGAGGCATAAGAGTGACCATGCAGCAGAGCTTTCGGGATTCACAAGAGCACTGTGCGCACTATGAACTATCCTGAACTACAAGGCAAACATTGCTTGGCAGGTGGCGCTCGCGTGAGTTTGTCACACCAACGCCATGTCTGCAGATCGCTGAGCATGCTCAGTGCATGCGACTTGTTGGCGGGGAGGTCAATGAAGAAGCCGGAGCCTGCAAAGCGCATCGCAGATCGTGTTGTCTCGGCTTCGCTGCACAATGCTGTAATGGGCTGCCGGGGTGGCAAGACATGATAACCAGTCAGAGATCATGAGCACTTATCATCGGGCCAACTCCAGCGAATCTAACGCACGACCAATGCCTGAGTATGTGGCGGCGCCCCCCCGGATTGCAATCTGCTGTGTCTCTTCAGCCGTTCGCCACTGATAAGCCTGGTCAGGGCAGGGACAGCTTGAAGATCACTTCGAGAAAACATAGGCTGTCTAGCTTCCAAGATGTGGTGAGACAGAAACCTGCCAACTCACAGGCTTGCAGCCTTGATGAGATACGTTGGTGCAAACCGCGGGTCATAGGCTGCCTGGCTGATGCAGGCTGACAAATGCTGAGAATTCCCTGCTTCCGAATAACCAGGCTCTGGCCATCTGCAAGTCCAATGCACAGATTGCATTAAAGAGCTACTGACAAGGCACTTGACTCTCTCGCGTCTCATCGTATGTTGAGTAGCAGTCCTTAGGCTCACTTCCAAGGTACTTAAGGGATGAGAAACCCTTGATGGAAGCTGTGCTGCTGGGTAGCTGGGTAGACGTGCTTCACAAGGGCTGTCACACTGCAGCCAGTGTTGGGTTGCACTCGCCTTGGCAAGAACATTGGCCCTTTGGCCAGAACCTGTTACACCTTGGCTTAACTGAACTTCATCTTGGCATCCGACAGCTGTCGCATACGCAAGGCGCCTAAAAGGACGGTGCTCCGTGTGTCGCTCAGATAGCGTGGGCTCCTGCAGAAATCGGTGCTGCCATGCTCGCATGCAAGTGCTTCCTGAAGTAACTGACACAATGAAACATGGGCAACCATGCGGCTCCACTTCAGCGGAAAGTTGCTGTTCCTCGCGTCTGCAACTGACCGCAACGCTACATCCCAGGCTAAAAAAAAATCTGTCAGCAGCACCTTGCATGCTGCAGACAGGATGCGGAAAAACCGTGTCAATTTGGGCCACAATGGGAGCGCCAACGTCGTCGGTGTATGCCAGCGGTAAAAGCTCCTCCCTCGGCTGCTACCTAAAAACAACACTTCTGCCTTCCATAGACACGCCTGAGGTCAATGCTGCATCCAGGACCAGAAGCTGTGAATGTTTTCCACCTCACAAGCAGCCATTCGTCTGGATATTTGCCTGCGCTTATTGGTGGGCCTTCTGGATCCGGCAGTTGCCGTCTGTGTCGCAACCCCTCCAGTAGTCGAGCTGTTCGATTCGACTTTCAAACACGTCCTGGCCGAAGCACCCCTTGCAGGGCTTCTAAATTGCTCTCACCTGGTGCATCCGATTCAAGCTACCCAAGCGCACCCTAGTACACAAGGACAGCCAAAAGACACTCTCGCAGGTTAGAGAAAGAAAGCTCTGCAAGATAAGCACAGGCAGACCCCAAATGCATCATATAAACCTTCCAGGAATCACGCGCGGCGTGAACTTTCGCAATGCCTTTCCTATGCAATCTTTGACACATTCGCTTGAAAAGGAAAATCCCTGGATGCCTTTGACATGCTCCTGTCACATTGAACATGCATGTGAGCACTGCAACAAAAGACCTGAACTAGAACGTTCGGAGCATCCCCACCTTCTCCAACAGCATCCAAAATGTAAATACACCACTCTTGCTGAATGCGCACGCAAGAATTCGACATGGGGGCGCGTGAAAAGCTCTGGAGCACTGCACATTGAAAGGGCAGATCCAAAACCTCCACCTGCACTGGCAAGAGGCGGAAGCACTAGGTGGCTAAACCTGAAGTTCTATAAGCAGCGAAAGGGGCAGCCCCCAACCCTACCGCAATCAGAACAACCTAGGAATCTGTGAGACGCTTTCGCTCTTTGTAAGAGTGGTCAAGAGTGGAAGTCCTGACACCCATGGGCCGTGCAAACATCTTGGAACAATTACACATATCATGAAACATGGGCTCTGCTTTTCTCAGGACAAGATTGCAGCAGTTCGTATGGAATAGCAGAATATCTTTGACAGTTATGCTTTCTGCAATGTCTGTGTATAGCAGGGGTCCTGCGACTGCAAGTTGTACGCATACAATGTCACTGATGCCCTTAGTTTCTCAATCTCCGTCCAAAAGAGTTTGACAAGCCACATCAAATGCGTGCAGCCCACTCAACACCTTAGGAGCAACGTAGTTTGGCTTTCTTTGCAGGCCAAGATGCAACAAGACCAGATAAAAGAGTGTCTCGAAAAACATGACTTTCAAGTTCCTCGGGCCAGCCGCATGAATGCAGAGCAAGATCAACAAACAGGAGGCCTGAGCTCAATCTCTCTGGTACACTAAAACCCGTCCTGTACTCCACCGAGTTTGTGTGGTAAATTCGGTTCGCGTCAATATCCTCGAAAAACTTCCAGAACATCACATCACCGACGAAACGATCCTTGTCAGGAGTCTCCTCAAAGATGTCCTGCGGGGGATATGAGCAAGCATCAGCACGCACACCTTTGTCTTAACATCTGTTACGCATCACTCACGCAGACATAAAACACGGCCATGAACGGCCCAAGCCGGCATGGAAGTTGCTGCACTTGGCACCCTCAGAGTGCGAGCAGGCAAACATAACGGCATAACACTTCAGTTGCTTTTCCCAGTACTCCTTGAGGAGAACCATTGGGCTATCCTCAGCAAAACGAATGCTGCAGAAAAACAGGACTCGATAGCAATCTGACTCCCTTGGTCACTTGCGCGAATGCGAAACGTCCAGTCGCATGCGAAATTTGAAAAACATGGCCCGCAAATGCTGCTCAATCCGGGTTGCCTACGAAAAAAGCAGGCTCTGAAAACTTACAGAGTGTGGCGCATTGTAGTGAAGGAACAAACGAGCGGTCCAGCTCTGCCAGAACTCAGGCTTGGACGTCAATCAAGGTTTGAGGCTACTTTAGTTCACGGACTTCTCTGAGTTCCTAAGTTTGCTGGACTTGCGCTGGACATACTTGGGTCCGGACTTTTCTGCTCTGCTGTCTGTGGTGTAGCCGTTTAATCACGATATCGCGATTAAGAAACCTGAGACTGAACATAAATGCAACGCAGCTTGCAGCTGCGTTGCCAAATACTTACTGCAAAAGCAGTCCGCGAGCAGACTAGGTCAAGTTCAGCATGACGACATCACCAGATGCGAGAAAGCCACAAAGGCCTGGAGTTTTTTTTCTTTTTGCCTGCCGATGTCAAATCTTAAAACTGAATAGCAAACAACGCTGCAAAAAATTGTAAGTGAAGACCAAAAAAGCAAGGCTGCCTTCACCACCAGCACCATCTGGGCTGTCCATGATGCCAAAGGCTGTAGCTAACAAGATGCAAACATATGCAAAAGCAGAGTTGGTGCTACTTGGTGACGAAGCCAAGTGCAGCAACTACCAACCGGTGCCAAATTCTTATTGGTGCCTTGGCCGTGTGATCTTCAAAAGCTATATATGTAGTATGCCATGTGCACACTCTCATGTTCAATGTTGTATGATGCCATGCCGGCTTGTGAGCAAATGCTGCAAAATCGGAGGCATCTTCACGATTAATGGCAGGTGGTCAGCCTGTCACCTTCCACAGCGAGGCGCACAGGTCCTGCATAGCTTGGAGCCTTTGCGCTTGCACCTTTGCAGTTGACATGCCCAAGGAACCATTGCATGGGCCTGCACCAGAGCTACCAATGCCAATCCAATGCAAACAGTGAGCCCCTGACACGATGTTGGTCTGTGATTGCTTGCATGTCACCGGATAAAGCGGCCAAACAATGCTCATTCCGCTTCTGCTGCTGTTCGAGGGCAACCAAGCGAGCATCGAAATCTGGGGAACCTGTCAAAGTGCCTGGCGCTGCCCGTTGATCCAACACTTGGCGGTTTAAGCATGCTATTGCGGAAGCCATTCTGTCTTCCAGTGACGCCACCTGCCGCTTCAACTCCCAAACTGGACGGGCGTCAGGTTCTCGGCCAGCGCCATCCCAACAAACTTTTTGCGCCATGGTCAAGGACTGCTCACTCCTGTCCACAAACTAAGGTGAATTCCGACCAGCTCGTGAGTTCACACACGTGCATGGAAGGAATGTCCTGCGTCCCACACTGCGCAGGAAGTGCGTTGACGTCACCGGAACCCCAGGTCCATCATGCCAATGCCGATTGATGCCGTGCATTGTGATTTATACACCATGCAACTGTTGAACAACTTCTCATTTCAGCTCATCACTCATATAATCGATGGTGACAACTACTACTGAATGGGGAAAACCGTGTTCAAAACACAAATTCCAGATGAACAACATTCTTCCAACAACGCAGCAACATCTGATGTGGCATGACCCGTCACAGATGCGCAGACAAACTGTATATTGTTCTTGTGCGTTCACCACACATCTTTTGCATGAAACAGGAAACTCCAAATTGCTATGTAGGCATTGCATATAAAACGCCACAAACGAAAGAAGTTTTGGGAAGATCCGTCTGCCAAGGGTCGTTTAGTGGTGGTTCAATAACTTAACAAATCACCGGGGATCATCCACAAAAAAATCTTGGCCTTGGGCGGCTTGGAGTAAAAGCAAAAGCACTGTTGCAGGCATAAAAAAATATGATCAATAATGAAACTAATCAAGCCGGAAACCATGGCAGTCATAATACTAGTCACAATAAAAATTGTAGAAAAAAAAAGCAGATGCTGAAAACGGTGGTGGTAGCATTAGTATGCACGGTTTCTAAGTCTCTGGTTACCGTCAACTTCGTTGGAAGTCAAATGAGAGGCTATACTCACAAAGGCTTTTAAAAATATTTTTTCATAAACGAAAACGGCTTAAAATGAAGATCAAGCGTTTCCATAATCTTGGGCTGCTTTTTGGCCCCAACTTCAGGCTCTGGGCGTTGACGTCAGACGCTCATTTCCCACGTATTTTTTTTACTCTGCACACCCATATTCACCAAAAAACCTTATGGCAAATTTTAGTAACACAAATATATGTTGGGATGACTCAATCCCTTTAGTAGGATGTAATATAGACTGGATGTAATGCAAGAACTAAGGAACACATTGTTTTTTTGTCTTGGGTCAGTCGCACACGTGTTGGACGGCAGTTTGCAGCAGGGCTAACACGGTGTAGGCAGGAGCACATACACGGACGCTCTGTGTGGTTACACTGCTCCTGTCCAAGACCTGCCACAACAAGCAGCAGAGTCTGCAAAAAAAATCCGGAAAGCACCGCGAAGGATTCGTCGTGAAAAACGGCTGCCTTGCACACACCACAACACCTGCACAACTCAGATACATCACGTCGCAATTCTACACCAATCCACGGCCACATATGTATCATAGTGTATGCTATGCAAACTTGTGGGCAAACCAAGCAATAGGAAAAAGTATTCAAGCATCAAATAGAAATTCATTCATAAACGGATCATGTACATTTTGCATGGTGGGCAACGCAAGATATCCACGGCCCATGCTGGACATGAGGGGAGGATCAGCTGCAAAATATCCCCTAACGTAGGAGACCACCATGCGAGAAGTACGTGCCAGCATCCGCCGGCAATTGACCGGTTCCCAATGTAGTTCTCAACATTCCATTTTAGCCGCCTAGCTTCTCTCTAGTCTCTACAGCATACGTGAAGACCCGATCCAGATTAGTGCACAAACCACCTGGCATGCATGCACAGACACGTTTGGCATCACTCTTGTTTTGGCGGTTCATATAGCAAAGCCGTATTCAAAGTCACAGAATACCAAGCTATGTGAGGATCCAACACCAAAGACTAAAAACTGCATAGACAAGAGCGATGCCCGGCTCGCACGAAGTTCAGAAAGTCCAGAAGATTGATTAAGTGAGATGTGGCATCCGCCACAAACCCTGCCAACCACAGCCTGGCCACCCCAGTTGGCAGGATTCATTGCACAGCATTGAGATCAGAGCATCGGCTTTCAAAAAAGGCGGGCGGTAGGGCGGAATCCCCTCTACCTCCACCCCGTCGAGAAGGCCCAGCCATGCGGGGGAAGCCAACGCGACCGCGCACCGCATGAAGACACAACTCTGGTAGAGGATGAAACGCCTCAGCTCAACTCCCATACGTGAGATGGCAAGCCTGCCATGATGCCCCACAGCTCTGACGCGGAAGACGGAAATCGGCTAGAAATCCAGGAAGTTGCCAGAGGGCTCATGCTCCTGGGAGCCCGGGCAAGCTGCGATTGCTTGAAAGCGGTGGGGACCACAAAAGCGTTGAATTTGGCGGGAAAAGCCTCACATCTCTTGAGAACCCCACAACACATCTAGGTTTATTGCTACGCTTAATAACTCCCAGGGTCAAAAGTCACAGACTCGCACTTTTACCTCTAGCGGTCAAAGGTGGGGTAGGAGTCAGGCTGCACGGCCGCTGATCCTTGAAGGATCTGTCGCTTACTAAGCGTGAGACACATGGCCCCCTTTAGGGATGTGTCTTTCCTACAAGGCACCCTACTAGGGTCCAGAACTGTACAGAGTTGAAATACGAAGACAGGGCACTGTCACTGACAAGCTACGCGGTCTACGCAGACATGAAGACATGGAGAGCCCATGTAGCCTACATGGCTCAACAAGGCACCTATGTGCCGGAACACGGTTCCATGTTCTGGAAACGTTCCAGGGTGTGGAGGGCGGGCACAAAAACTACGCACTTTAGATCTGAAATGACTTCGGCATGACATGTTTGCACGGCAACACTTTGCACATCCAGGCTACGAGCCTAAGGCAAACGTTGCCTACGTCATTCTGCTCTCAATAAAGCTCAATCACGAACGCGTGAGGGAAGCTTATTTGAAAGTTTTAGACCAAATCTTAAGGTCCACTCTACACTCCTAACACACAACTCAACCTAACTACAGCGGTCGGTCTTTTTCTACGCACTGCAGCTACGGTCTGCTGGTGGGTTTGAGCCTAGCGCAGCGGTGTGAAACAT